AGGAGAGGGAAGGAGAAGGGAGGAAGGAGAGGGAAGGAGAAGGGAGGAAGGAGAGGGAGGGAGAAGGAAGGGAGAGGGAAGGGAAGGGAAAGGAAGGGAAGGGAAGGAAGGAAGGAAAGGGAAGGAAGGAAAGGGAAGGAAAGAAAAGGAAAAGGAAGAAATAAAGAAAAGAAACATCTAAAAATTTAGAATTCCCATCCATTACTCTTTAAAATAGAGCACCTTCAGGGAGCCTGGGTGGTGCAGTCAGCTGAGTATCTGACTCTTGATTTTGACGCAGGTGGTGGTCTCGGGGTCATGACACCGAGTCCCGCATCGGGCTCCGCGTTTGGCACAGAGTCTGTTTGACACTCTCTCCCCTTCCCTCTGTGCCCCCCACCCCCGCCACACGGGTGCGCTCAATCTCTCTCTCAAATAAATCTTTAAAAAAATAAAGTAGAGCAGCTTCGCAAGGTTGCATGTAACCTGGCAAATACGTGCCAAACACATAAAAATTATAAATCAAGAAATTATAAACAGGGAGCCTGGGTGGCTCAGTTGGTTGAGCGACTGCCTTTGGCTCAGGTCATGATCCTGGAGTCCCGGGATCAAGTCCCACATCGGGCTCCCTGCTCGGCAGGGAGTCTGCTTCTCTCTCTGACCCTCTTCCCTCTTGTGCTATCTCTCATTCTCTCTCTCTCAAATAAATAAATAAGATCTTAAAAAAAAAATTATAAATAGGATAGTCTTATGACGGGGATACCACACAACTATTAAAAAATGAACTACATCTACTAAAATAAGTACATCTCAAAAACAGTATCAAGCACAGTAAAAAAAAGACAACATGTGTAGACCGAACCGAACCTATAGCATACCATTTATATAAATAAAATCTTAAACCTATGGAATACTACAAAACTTCTGTGGAAACAAGTACGTAATAAAACCATAAACACACGAGAATGCAAACAGCTAAAAGTACAATGTGAGAAACTCTGTAAGATAAATGACAGGTTTCTCCAACAAATAATAGGCATATGAAAGGGGAGGCGACCTCTCTGTCATCAAATAAGAAACAAGACACAGGGGTGCCTGGGTGGCTCAGTATGTTAAGCGTCTGCCTTTGGCTCAGGTCATGATCTTAGGGTCCTGGGATCAAGCCCTATGTTGGGCTCCCTGCTCAGTGAGTCTGCTTCTCCTTCTGCCCCTCCCCCCTACTTGTGCACACTTTCTCTCTCTCTCAAATAAATAAATAAAATCTTAAAGACAAGACACATAATCAACCATAAGCAATGTGTGTACCTTGTTCGGACCCCAATTTTTTATGAAAATCACTGTATAATGATTATTTTTGAGACAAAGGAGAAAATTAAGCATGGTCTGAAATCCTAAGTTCTTAAGAAGTTATCATTCTATTAGATGTGGATGTCAAGAAGGACTGCACAGAAGGGAAGAGAAGCTGGTATACAATAAAACTCTTAAGAGATTAAATGGCATATAACACATAAATCAAAGCTACTTACTTGATTCCTAAAAATCATAATGTATTTGATACCATCAGCTTTAAGGACAGGAAATTCATTCACTATTAAAAAAATAAAACCATAGTTATTTAAATGCTCAGGACTATTACGCCCAGATTGGCGACATTATCAGATTTTTGAAACAGTTTTGGTAACCATAATGTCAAGTAATTGAAGCTTATTTAATTATACGAAGATCTACTACGTAGCTATTCGTTCTGGTAAGATTATGATTAATTTTATTTTTTTCCTTTTTTAAGTTTCATTACAAATGGACATGCACTTACTACTTACATTAATTGAGTAAAAACGATTTAGACCACAAGCTAACGACCATATATCATCTTTTAGCTAGAAGTGAAGCTATTCTGAATCAAAAACATGTCTCTCAGGCTGGGATTTCCTTTAAACTGCTCTAATGGTGGGAAAATAAATTAGTGAAAAAAGAATACTGGTCAATTACTTACAATTCTTAAAGCCAGATGACAGTAAAACATGCATGTCCATTATTCTCCCTTTTAGTGTATTTAAAATTTCCATACAAAAAGCTTTTTTATTTTTTTAAAAAGTAGGCCCCATGCCCTGCATGGAGCCCAACATGGGGCTTGAGCTCATGACCCTGAGATCAAGACCTGAGCTGAGATCAAGAGTCAGACACTTAACTGAGTGAGCCACCCAGGTGCCTGCCATACAAAAAGTTTTTTAAAAAGGGAATATATAATGTATATACCTTCATAAACATAGGAAGTTATCCTTAATTATCAGTTTGAAGTACTTTAAATTTACTTCAATTTTTAAGATTACATTTTTCAAATGAGAAGGGAAAGAAAACTGAAGTAGAATTCCTAGAGTATGCACCAGCATAACTAAGCTGAGCTACAATTTCATCTTAGTTGTTCCTATTTTCCTTCTATACAAGCAACATCTTCTTTAAAGAAAGTTAATTTCAACAGTGCAAGATCTGGGGAAACCATTTGAGATTTTATTCAATAAAAGAAGTAACTGCAGGGGCGCCTGGGTGACTCATTGGGTTAAGCGTCTGCCTTCAGCTCAGGTCATGATCCCAGGGTCCTGGGATTGAGCCCCACTCTGCCTGCTCAGCTGAGTCTGCTTTTCCCCCTGCTCATGCTTTCTCTCTCAGATAAATAAAATCCTTAAAAAAAAAAAAAAAAAAAGGAATAACTGCAACAAGGACAGGAGCCAATTTTTTGAGTCTCATGGTGCTGTAGAGCCCCTATTATGACCTTATGACTTTTGCCATATTGTTACCTATTTTGTAGTATAAAATAACAATGCAGGGGTGCCTGGCTGGCTCAATCGGTAGAGGATGTGAATCCTGATGTTCAGGGTCTTGAGTTTCAGCCACACGTTGGGTTGGGTGCAGAGATACTATATACAGTATCTTAAATAGTAAGATTTAAACTAGATACTTAAAAAACAAAAACAAAAAAACCACTCAAGTAAAAAGTGTTGTAAGTGGCATAAAAAAACTTTCACAAACTCACCATTAGCTGATTTTAAATCAGGGAGAATGTGATTCACAAAGAACTCAGTCAGGTTTACAAGTTCATTTGCTTGTGTAATTCCATGCTGAAAAACAATTTTTAACAGGGTAAATGACATGAAATACCTGTATACATCTGATACAATCTATCACATAGGAAATTTAGGCAACTTTTAAAAAACAGGTTATAGGGGCCCCTCGTTGGCTCAGGTGGTTGAGCGTCTTGACTCTTGATTTCAGCTTGGGTCACCATCTCAAGGTTGTGATGCCTGAAGCCTGCTTAAGAGTCTCTCTCCCCCTCTCTGTTTGACCCTCACCCCCCTCTAAAATAACAAACAGGTTACAAATAGAGATGAACACTTCAAATCACAAACTGCTTAAATATAAAAAACCAAGACTATTTTAATAGACAATAAAGAAATCTCCCTAATTTAAGGAACAGCTAAATTTAAATTAAGCACTTTATATACACCAAGTCTCAGCTAAGGGAAACAAGTGTGGTATCTATCAGTTTTCTATCCATAAGAAAATAAAGTGCTTAATATATCAATGTAAAGTCATCTTGGGAGACTATATGAATTCTAATCAGAACTAACAGGTTATCTAGCAAAGTAGGCTGATCATTAGAAATGTATTACTTCTTTCTGATTTCTGTGATTACCACACCAAGTCTATTTTAAAAACAAAACTATATTGCAAAGATTCACCTTCTGTGTTTGGGCTTTTGATGCCAAAGATGTCACTAGGTAAATGGCTGCATCTTTGTGTTTCCAGTTGACAGATGGGTTTTTTGCATATTCTTGCAGCATGGAATTAACATAACCAGAAAAGATTCCTGTCACAGGTCCCTCAAAAAACTTGCACAATCCTCGTACTAGATCACAAGCAGCTCTGCGTCTAGTATCAATATCTATAAAACCAAAGGGAAATATATCATAAGAGAAAGAAACAACCACAAACCAAGTGATCAAGATTATAAGGCAACAAATTGTCATCTGATCGCTCTTAGCAACATCAACAATGAAAAAGAACATCCTAAAAAAAAAGAAGAAAAAGAACATTCTTTTGTTCACAAGAAACACAAAATGGGAACTAAAAAGGTTACAGTAGTAGTTACACACTAATAAGCATATAAAAAAGAGAAGGCAGATGATTTAACGTTGGACACTACGCTCAAGCTCAGGCAAGAGTCCTCTTTAAGGTGTACAAAGTTAGAGGAGGAAAGGCGGTTGAGACAACATACTTACCCTAACTCCCACTCCTCCCCATAAGTGACCAGAAAGAGCAACTTTAAAAGAGCCTTGCTATCAGACTAAGTTCAAAACCAAAATACATACCAGATCCTTCCAAATCTCTTCTTATGTACTCCTCAGAATTGTCTTCGAAGGCTTCTTCATCAGCAGCTACAAAGAGAGATGGCACTTCAAATAACCCCTCAAAAGACATGACAAAAGTCATTGTACTTTCACAGCAAGTACAGAAAAGACTATGTAGAACTGCCATGTTTTCCAGCAAAATGTTCCTTCCCAAAAAAAGACTTTATATATATATATACATACATATATACACACACACACTTTTTTTTAAAAAAGAAATTTATATGAGAGAGTGAGAGCACAAGCAGGGGCAGAGAGAGAGAGAGAAACAGGCTCCCTGCTGAGCAGGGAGCCCAATGTGGGGCTCGATCCCATCTGGGATCATGACCTGAGCCGAAGGCAGACGCTTCACAACTGAGCCACCCAGGCGCCCCTAATTTCATAATTCTTAATCGTTACTTAAGAGCAGCAAATGCCACCCTAAACGGTTAGGTAACAGGTAATTCTCACAGCTCACTTGTTCTAATGTAACCATGTCCCCAGAATTGGACTTTACCACCCACTTCAAAAAGTTGAATATTGGGGCCCAACCTAGAGATGTCAACTTTTATTCTGCTAGATAAGGACATTAAAAAAACAAAGAGCCTGGGGCACCTGGGTGGCTTAGTCGTTAAGCGTCTTCCTTTGGCTCAGGTCATGATCCCAGGGTCCTGGGATCGAGCCCCACATCGGGCTCCCTGCTCCGTGGGAAGCCTGCTTCTCCCTCTCCCACTCACCCTGCTTGTGTTCCCTCTCTTGCTGTGTCTCTGTCAAATAAATAAAATCTTAAAAAAAAAAAAAAGAGCCTAACTACTATAATCACCATTTCATAAAAGTCATTTCAAACCAGACAAAGTAGGAGAGGCAACACCAAAATAAAGATCTGTCCTTTATAGTTTTATGAAAACACAAAAGGAAATAAAACCTCACATTGTATTGTCCTTAATTCTGCTTTTAGTTCCTGATAATTTGAGAACCACTGATCTAATGATTGTTTTGACATAAAACACAATTCCTTCCACATTTACTGCTTGTTCTTCCCAGCTGTAAGAAGGAAAGACAGTTTGTATACAAATATAGAGTCTTAGGGCTCTCTTAGCCTTAATCAGAAACTGAGTGGGCTTCAGCTCTGCATTTAAAGGTTATCAATCACTTCTACACTCAACTGACAAGGGTTATTTGCCCCAGTGAAACACTAAATCAAACAAAACCAAATTCTTTCCTAAACTGAGATCCTGGATAGTTTACTTTCTTCTCAATGTAATAAGGATATTTTTAGCCTTATTCAATTATTTCTGTGAAAAATGCTCTACAGTAGAAAACAAAGCTCATCACAGCAACACTCACAAATGTCTTTTACATCACTGTTTTTTCCTTCTGTCTTGGTTTAGAAAATAGGGAATAAGTGATTTACAGGAAGATTTAATTAGCAATAAAAAAAATTAGACTGCATTTATTATAAAAAAGCAACAGGGAACAGACTTAATAATAAATTTATACTAATACATGCTTTAAAAAAAGCAAGCTTTTAATCTCCTAAAAAGGCTTTAGACTTTGCTATAATTACCTCTAAATTCCATGTTAGGCACAATAACCTTCTCACAGATACTTGTCAGCGTGTTCTGGTCCTCAAACAGATTCTTATAGTGAGGTCTCTCACAAACTGAAGCCAGAAACTGAATTGCGTTACTTACTAACTGGAATAAAACACAATAGGTATTTTTTTTTAATAGGCATATTTTTAAGAGCAAAACTGAATCATTTATTAATTGGGGGAGGTAGGGAGGGGATGTCTTAATTATTTGTCTCCACCATCATCTTACCAAGTCATATTTCACCTCTTGACCCGTTGTAACTAGTAAATTCCAGATGGCTGTGACAAAACGAGGCAGGTACCGTTGAAATTCTTCATCATACTTCTGTGCATAGAGTGCAGCATTATCACAAATCTGGGATTTTAAGAGCTCCAATAAGCCTGCTTCCTCTTCATCCTCACATAAGAAAAAACAGAAAACTCAAACATAAAACTTTAAAGTTACCATAAATACAGAGTAGCTGTAATTCCTGAAACTAAAATTAAAACCTAGGGTTGTAATCTACAACTATGCCACTGTCAATGTATTCATTTAGTCTTTCAAATAGGTAACAAATGAAATACTTGTATTTATTAATCATGAAGCGCAGTTCTCAAAGTTTTCAAATTAAATAGAGACTTTTCTTCTGGTTGCTGAATTATGAAATATTTACATATTCAATTGAAAATAATACAGAGAAACCTGGATGATGAAAGGCCGTACCACACTCCCTTTGTGACATGGTCAGCTATGCTGTCCTGCTATCTCCTCCCCATAAAGTTCTCATTTCAAACACATTAAGATAAAATAATGCTATGGGACAGGGCGCCTGGGTGGCTTAGTCAACGACGTGTCTGCCTTCGGCTCAGGTCATGGTCCAGGGTCCTGGGATCGAGCCCCACGTCGGGCTCCCTGCTCCGCAGGGAGCCTGCTTCTCCCTCTCCCTCTGCCCCTGCTCGTGTGCTATCTCCCTTGATCACTCTATCTCTCAAATAAATAAAATCATTAAATAATAATAACAGTAATAATAATAGTAATAATAATGCTATAGGATTCTCACCAACAGTATTCTGGCTATAAAATATTAAACAGCAATCTAATTTAAGGGTCAAACTTGTGGTCTGCAGGCCTGCTACCTATTTTTGTAAGTAAAGCTTTATGGAAACACAGCCATGCTCATTCCTTCTTTATGTTTACACAATTTATAGTATTGCCTACGGCTGCTTTCATTCAACTACAACCGCAGAGCTGAGTGGCTGCAACAGAGACTGTACAGCCCACAAAGCCAAAAATATTTACCACCTAAACCTTTACAGGAAAAGTCTGCCAACCCCAATCTAAACCATGACAGTCATTTATATAATGGTCTCTACTATAATGGCAATCCATAAACACCTTTTGAGCTGTACTATGTGCCAAAGAACTCAAATTTAGAAGAGAGAAAAGGTGGTTCCTCAAGTCATAAATGTAAGGGATATTACACAGTGAGAGGACATAAGGTAGTACCTGATTAAATGGGCAAACAGCTCCCTGTAAGAATCCTAGGTGAAAAACTTCCTTTACATAGAAGTGTGAAGACAAGTTTTGTTTTCTGAGGACATCGTTTTTTTCCTACTGGACTGAAAGAATTACTTCATGGGGGGCCGTATCTTTTTTGTTGCTTTTTAGTTGGTAAATCCTAGACAAAATTTGCTGTACACCCATAGAAACAATTCTCTCTCTGCACCCTACTCCCAAAAACTGATTTGAATCACCTGGTCTAATTTTATCTGAAACGGAAGCATTCTTAATATTTTGCTTTTTAAGTTTTTTGTTTCTTGGAAAAAAGATAGATTGTAAGTCTATTAATAAACAAGCAAATGGAATAAAGTGCTATGATGGAAAGTACATATTATAAAACCCAGACCAGAAACTTTAACACATTACAAAACTTCATAATGTCCCCACGTTCCCATGTTGTACTGACTTTTTAAAAAGAGGCTCCTGGTACAAAGGTTTAAGTTTTCTTAATATTTTCAATGATAGCTTTCTATTTCATAAAATGTTCACAGTGTGAATACTTTGAGGCTTCACTTTCAATCTTGTAAAAAAAACAGCATCCTCTAGGGGCGCCTGGGTGGCTCAGTCGTTAAGTGTCTGCCTTCAGCTCAGGTCATGATCCCAGGGTCCTGGGATGGAGCCTGCATCGGGCTCCCTGCTCTGTAGGAAGCCTGCTTTCCCTCTCTCACTCCCCCTGCTTGTGTTTCCTCTCTCGCTGTGTCTCTCTCTTGTCAAATAAATAAATAAAATCTTTAAAAAAAAAAAAAAAGAAATAGCCTCCTCTATAAATTGTGAATCTACCTATGCCAGGGCACAATAAGGGTAATTCTGTGTGCTAAAAATAACCAAACATAAACTGAATTTAAATAAAAAATAATTTTTTTAAAGATTGTATTTATTTATTTGACAGAGAGAGAGACAGCAAGAGAGGGAACACAGCAGGGGGAGTGGGAGAGGGAGAAGCAGGCCTCCCGCTGAGCAGGGAGCCCGATGTGGGGCACAATCCCAGGACCCCGAGATCACGACCCGAGCCAAAGGCAGGCGCCTAATGACTGAGCCACCCAGGCACCCCTAAATAAAAAATAATTTAAAAAAATAACAACCAAACATAGAACATCCCACATAATCAAATATTACTTATATTCTTGGATTCTACCTACTAACAGTGCAAGAGTAAAAAAATTTTTAGGAACCAAAATTTAAATATTCAGTGGAACATGCAACTCTCGATCTCTGGGTCCTGAGTTTGAGCCCCATGCTGGGCACAGAGTTTACTTAAAAAATATATAAACAGGAGCGCCTGGGTGGCTCGGTTGGTTGAGCAACTGCCTTTGGCTCGGGTCATGATTCCAGGGTCTTGGGATCGAGCCCCACATCGGGCTCCCTGCTTGGCGGGGAGCCTGCTTCTCCCTCTCCCTCTGCTGCTCCCCCTGCTTGTGCTCTCTGTCAAGGAGATAAAATCTTTTAAATAAATAAAATAAATGCTCTCGGGGCGCCTGGGTGGCTCAGTCAGTTAATCCTCTGCCTTCGGCTCAGGTCATGATCCCAAGGGTCCTGGGATCGAGTCCCACACATCAGGCGGGGAACCTGCTTCTCCCTCTGCCTGCCGCTCCACCTGCTTGTGCTGTCTCTCTGACAAATAAATAAATAAATAAATAAAATCTTTAGAAATATATAAATAAATAAAATAAATGCTCTCACATAACTATTTCATTTTCTGAAATCTAACTATATTCCAAGGTTTTCAGAGGGTACTCCTCATTTTACATTTTTAAAAACAGATATAATCAAAATCTAATATTATATTTCAAACAATTCTTCAGTTAAAACAGGGATACCTGTGAACCATTTTTAAATACTTACATCAGTTTGTAGAAGCTTATTATCTAATGTCAAGAGGGTATGAAAATTGTTCATCCAAGTTTCCATATTATCTTCAAAAAATTCAGGGAGGTCCTAAAGAATAAACACTGACTTGAGATTTCTGATTAAAAGCAATGTTATTTTAGTAAGCTTTGCCCCCATGCTAAACATTTCCCACATGCCTACAGCCTCAAGTTCACACTCCTCAGCCTGAGCCAACATTAACTATTTAGACCAAAAATTCTTTATTCCAGCCGGGCCTGGCAGCTCAGTAAACCACTGTCTCTTTGGTTTATACACTTTCAACTACAAATGATGCCACCTATTTCCTGTCCCAATCTAAACTCACTTAATTCTTTCAAGGTCCAGCTAAGACTGTATGAAACTCGAGTGCTTACCGCTATCTTCCTTTTCCTTTCTCAACTATCGCTTTTGTTGTAAGATGACCACCAATTCAGACTTATTGTCTTACATAGCTACTGATTTCCTGTGCCACAGTACTGCCTTCTTAATGAGGGATAAGCCACCCCAAGGATAAAGATTATGGCTCTTTCTTTGGTCTTCCAGACTATGCCTAACAAGTTATTAAGAGCCTCATCCTACCTGATTTCTAGGAAGGAGAATTCAAAAGAAGGTGATATCCTTTAAGTAAAACTTTCTCAAACTGGTGTCCAGCTGAACACTGATGTAAGATATACCATTTTGGGCTGTTCATCTCCTATTCTGCCTATTCCTTTTGAAGAATGCTCTTTCTACCACTCTGAGTGCAATCATTTAATGAGGAGGCAGTCCAGGTACATGGCCCTGGCTATTAGCAGTGAAAAGGCCAGATTGTTCCTCTTGCATCTCAGTATAGTAATCTGCACCATTAAGACCCCTCTTGTCATTCCTGGAACACTGAATCTTAAAGTAATGATTCAAGAGCAAAAAAGAATGGAGGCCACTATCTCAGTAGCAAGACAGTGACCAGGCATTTTCTACTAGAAGTCTATGGCTATGTTTCTTCTGAAATGCCACTGGTTCTTATATCTTCCAAAACCTGGTTTTTTAGTGTTCTGTCTCCCATTCTTCCAATAAAAGCCTTTTTGTATAAGCTAGCCATAGACCTCTAACCAAAATACTCTTCCTCCAGTGTTAATACCCACTTAAATGAATAAAAGAGAAAGGTCTGAGAATATGATCTCTCCGTGTCTTCAATAACACAGTATACAGGGTGGCTGTCCAAAACAGTGATTTAGGAAGTAGGGTCCTCTAAGTTATTAGACTATAAGAAAATGACACCTTTCCCCATGAAATGTCCTAGAAATATCTCTAGGAAGGACTATAAAATAGAACATTACTCGTAGGCAAAGAATGGGAGGAGAGTCAGAAAAAAACTAATTTCTTTCAGACAAATCAATGCTGGCAAAGAAGTCTTTATTAATTGAAAACCTGTATATTTGACATCAAAGAATCAAAAGCAAGAAATATAACAAAACTTACCTGAAAGTTTAAACTGTAGAACAATTTTGAGATAAGGATCAGGGAAGAAAAAAGAATCCTTAGGGCAGAAGCATCATTTGCATGGGTACTGCAGAGTTCAATAGTGGCCTTAGGAAGGAATTTAGGGACACGGTTTTAGTATACTGTAAACTTTAGTGAAACAGACTGAGACTACTTATATCCTCTCTGAAATTTGGCTTTTAAAAAGTATACAGTCACTGAAGAGATTCTGAAAAATATGTTACAATGGTATATATATTTAAATTGTCCATAACAGCACTACTGAAAGTCCAATGTTAATATTTGGAGACTAGATCCTTCCACTCTCCTTTGAGCATATAAATATATTACAAAACTGTCTTTATATGCTCTCATTAAATGACTCCCCTGGCATCTGAATTGTTTCCAATTATTTGTTATTCTAACTGCAATAAACAGGCTTATCTATAAAACTATGCACACCTCTAATTTTCACACTATGAGAGTCTAGAAATGTATTACCAAAGCAGATCAGTATGCTATGAGCACAGGTTTTGCAAGCCAGATAGACCTGGATATAATCCAGACTCTGTTGCTCATAATGAGCATCACCTTGAGCAAGTAAGTTATTTTACTGAGCCCCAATCTCATGTATAATCTGGAAATAATGCCTGCCTCAGAGAGAGAATATGAGAATGAAGAAATATACATGAAATATCCAGTACCTATGCACACTATGGAAAAGACACTCAACAAATGGTACTCCCTATATTCTGGAGTAAAGAAATATGAATATTAAAGTTTTCTGAATGAAATGCCAAACTCCAGAGAGTACCATTTATAATCCAATGGACAGGACACAAGAGTGTTCATTTCACTGCACTCTGGCTAACACTTTTAACACCAGTAAAAAGAAATAAGAATCTTTACCAACCCAATAGGTAGAAAATATTGATTACATTTTGTCCAATTTTATTTTTTTAGATAAAAATGTACCATTAGTAAGATGTCCTAATGATGAAAAATCCTGTGCACACTACATCTTAGAAAGTCGTGAAAAGTACAAAACTTTCCTTTTTGAAAAAAGGAAATGAGCAGCTTTTCCAGAGTTAGCACAACTAGGCTTGAGGCTTGGCTCCTTTTTTATTAGCTGTGTGATACTGAACCTTCTTTCCTTACCTGAAAAAAGAGGTTAAGAATATATCTCTTTCAGGGCCCCTGACTAACTCAGTGGGAAGAGCATGCAAAAAATTGGGGGGGGGGGACCATCTGGCTGGCTCAGTCAGTGGAGCTTATGACTCTTGATCTCAGGGTTATAAGTTCGAGCCCCATGGTGGGTATAGAGATTACTTTAAAAAAAAAAAAAAAAAAACCTAAAAAAAAAATTATCTCTTTCAATCTTATAGGAGTCTCACAGAGATAAACATGTTTAAGAAAATAGCCTATGCACTACAAGAAGATGTACAAATATATAAATTAATCTACAGTTATATATATAAATTAAACCACACAGTCAAATCAAAATGGGGAGTGAGTCCTTTAGAGACATATACTCAAATACTTGAGTAATAAAATAATACGATGCCTGGGATTTGCTTTTAAACATTCCTACAAAATGAGGGAAAGGGAAGGAAAAAAAAGTAATACTGTTAAACTTGTGTAATAGATACATGAGGGTTCATTAGATTGTCTTCTCTATTTCTGTGTAGGTTTGGAACTTTTCAAAAGCAATGTTGCTCTAAATATTACCTATCAAATAGACTTTCAAAGCATTCTCTTAAACAAAATGTACACAAATAATTAAGCAATTTAAAATATTAAGTAATTTTAAAGTATCACCAAGATGTTATTCCATTACCTTAAACAGATTAGTCAAAGGCAAAGCAAAGGCATCCAGAACAAGTTTAATTTCAGTCCATAACTCATTTGACTTAAATTCATGGCGATATCTAAAAAAATTAAGGTAAAATAGGTAAATTTACAAGTTTCTGTGTACTAACTTTAGGTCTTCAAGGACAGATTAGACCAAAACCCATGGGTAGACAGCTTTCTGAAATTCAAATGGATATCTTGGTTTTCTTTTTAAAGGAATCAAGCACAGTTTATTAAGACCTATTTCACAGTAACAGAGCTAAATGAAATCTTATTCTAAGATTACCAAATTAAAGGAATGACAACAGTCATAAAAATACAACTGTTTATATAAGCAAAACCATTTGGAAAAAGTATTTTAAAAAACATGAATTTATGAGGGGCACCTGGCAGTCTGTCAGTGGAACATTTGCCGTTTGGATCTTGGGGTCATGAGTCGAGCCCCAGGTTGGTTGTAGAGATTACTTAAAAATAAAATCTTTTAAAAAGCACCTCACCTGGGTGGCTCAGTCAGTTAAGCATCCAACTCCTGATTGTGGCTCAGGTCATGATCTCAGGATCGTGAGATCGAGCCCCATATCAGGCTCCCAGCTCAGCAGAGAGTTGCTTTGAGATTCTCTCTCCCTCTCCTTCTGCCCCTCCCCCAACACTCACACTCTACATAAATGAAATCTTTAAAAAAATAAAATCTTTAAAACAAGAAGTATGAATTTATCAATACCTTTTAAATAAAGAATGTGCTGTACGAAGGACTCCATTAATAACATGGAAATCTCCACTCTGAAACCGATTCACCATTTCTGTCAACAAGTCAGGCCATTTCTGAGGGAAATCTTCTCTGCCGATAATGCTAATAGCATCACTTAACTAGGGGGAGAAAAAAGATTAATTAGATGACAGTTCCACAAACAAGGCTCCTCCTTAAACAGTTGGGCCTTACATTACCTGCTTCTGAATTTGCTCTGGGCTGCTAAGCATCAAGTGTACTATGTTGGCTTTAATGGCTACTCGGTCAGCTTCACAAATTTTGTTTGGTTCATCCTCAACCTAAAACAAAACATCAATACCAAGTAACATAAAGTCCATATCTATGACCTTATGGGTTTATAGAGAAAATAGAACCATTTCTTTTTTTTTCTGGTTTTCTAAGAAAAACATAAAGTCAGGGCCTTCCCTCTACACGAATGGGTCACAGATTCCTTTAATAATCTGATGAAAGCATAAACTCTTCTGCAGAAAAATATACATTCCCTGATGCCAATTAAGAATCTCAGTTCTAAACATAAACTTATCAGCACATGTGGTGAAAATCTTTATGGATCTACACTGCCTAGCCCACATTCATCTTCAAAAGCGTCGATCTGACTCTCACCTTAGGTTAGAGGTCTTTTCAATGAAAACTTCTTGACCATTACCAATTTAAATACATCCAGGACAAATCACTCAAAGAGGTTCTGGAAGTCTCACTAGTTTTACAAATCAAGAGAAAGGAAGAGGGCTAGCATGTCTACAAGTAGAGGGATGGATGTTTAACCATTCTGATTTTCCAGCTGCTTCTTCACTACATGAAGTTAATACTTGACTACATAAGCTTAAAAACAGTATTTACTACTTCTTAAACTCTTTCACGAAATGAAGACAAAAGAAGAATTCTAAGTAAGTATCTAGGCAGATTTAAAGTTGACATTTTAGAAAAACTGACCAGTTTTGTCAACCTTAATACTTTCTAAATTTCATTACTGCTATCACTTCGAAACAATTCTCATTTTTTTCTTTATCCTAAACCAAGGTTTCCTCAGCCTTAGCATTATTGGCATTCTGGGCCCAAATCTTTGTTATGAGAATGGATTTGTACACTGTAGGATAGTTAGCAACATCCCTGGTTTCTATCACTAGATGGCAGTAACTCTCCCCTGCCCCTACCTGTGAAAACCAGAATGGCTCCAAAGATCTCTGTGGGCAAAATTACCCCCCATTAAGAACCACTGTCCTAAGGGAGGGAAAATACCTTAATTTCTTAATTTCTAATTTTATACCACTCATTAAACTTGCAGTACAGGGGCGCTTGGGTGTCTCAGTCAGTTAAGTGGCTGCCTTCGGCTCAGGTCATGGTCCCAGGGTCCTGGAATCGAGCCCCTCATCGAGCTCCCTGCTCAGCGGGGAGTCTGCTTCTCCCTCTCCCTCTGCCTGCCACTCCCCCTGCTTGTGCTCTCTCTCTCAAACAAATCTTTTTTAAAAAATTTAAATTAAAAAATAAACTTGCACTACAATGCCTTAAAATTAGAATATTTCTATATCCCTTATCAAAAACTCCAAATCTAAATTATTTTGCATTCTACAAACTTTTAATATATTTAATGCGGTTTTTCTACTGTATTTAATTTTTTTCCCATCCACAAGAGAAATTGCTTCAATTATTCAGTAAGGTTGTGTATCTTCCCACACAATGTCTCTCCAGTTGACAATGCACTAACGTTTAAATTCAACCATAATGGAGTTTGCAAAAGCCAAGTCTCACACTCTAGAGCAACCTGGTTTAGGAAGTTCAAGTAATCTACATGAACTCAAATGAAACAATAGAACTTTGTGAAAGCATCCTGTTTAATTTTTGCCAAGTCTTTCAGAATTCCTATGTAGACACTCATGTCATCTGTGAACAAAGATAGTTTTAGGTCTTCCTTCCCAGTCAGTAATACCTTTTTACTTCCTCTTCTTACTCCATCAGCAAGGACTTCCGAAAGTACAATGTTGAGAGGACATGAGAAGAGGGGACATTCTTGCTTTGTACCTGATCTTAGTGAAAAAGCTCCAAGTTTCTCACCATTAAATAGGATATTAGCTCTAAGTTGTTTGTATATAGTCTTTATCAAGTTAAGAAAGTTCTCTTTTATTCCTAGTTTACTGACAGTTTTATCATAGATGGGCGCAGGATCTTGTTAAATGCCTTTTCTGTAGCTACTGATATTATCATGTGATTTTTCTTTTGTCAGTTTATTAACAGGATTACATTAACTGATTTTTGAATGTTGAAGCCGCCTTGCATCCCTGGGATAAATCCCACTTGGTCATGGTGTGTAATTCTTTTTACACCTTTTTAGGTTTGACCTGCTGATGTTTTGCTGAGGGCGGTTCGGTTTAATTTCATCTTTAATCTGTGTCTGAATTTTTCAGGAGCATTACATACAAATCTTACAAACATACAGGTTATCAGACCATGTGTTCACAAAATACTTACAACTCTCCAGTTTCTTTTAATATAGTTCTTGAATGTTACTGAGGCACAAACTTTGATAACATTATCCTGGGACTTTTCCAGCAATGTTAAAAGCAAGAGTGGGTAGTTCTGATTTCCTTCTACAGATTCAAGAAATTTCTCAGCTGTAAAAGAATTTCCATGTTAGAAGATTTGACATTATAACCAAGCCTTTCCGTTTTGTATCTATGTAGATCTCTAATTAAATGATCAAAAAATCGGGGTGCCTCGGTGGCTCAGTCGGTTAAGCGTCTGCCTCCAGCTCAGGGTGTGATCCCAGGGTCCTGGGATCGAGCCCCACATCGGGATCCCCTACTCAGTGGGGAGCCTGCTTCTCCCTCTCCTTCTGCAGCTCCCCTTGCTTATGGTCTCTCTGTGAAATAAATAAAATCTCTAAATAAACAAATAAATGAATGAATGAATAAATAAATAAATACAAGGCTCCTGAGTTAGGTAACTTGTCTAAGATCGCACAGCTAGATTTCATCACTGAGAAAGTTTTAGTCCAGTCCTTACTCTATCACACTAGCCCTCAGTTTTCTTCTTGAACTAAACATTTCCAGTATGAGCAAAAAAGTATTTGAAGATTTTACCCACATATTTTCAACTCCTACCACACTTAGGGATAAGAAGACTCCTAGGTTTAGGGGCGAATGGGTGGCTCAGGCAGTTAAGCGTCTGACTCTTGATTTTGGCTCAGGTCATGATCTCAGGGTCATTAGATAGCCAGGCTCTGAGCTCAGTGGGGAGTCTGCTTGAGATTCTCTGCCCCTCCACCCAGCCCCTATGCACACGCTGCTTCTAAAATAAAGCCCCGCATAGGGCTCCCTGCTCATTGGGAGTCTGCTTCTCCCTCTCCCTCTGTGCTTGCGTGCTCGCTCTCTCTCTCTCGTAAAATAAATAAAATATATATATATTTTAAGACCTTATTCATTTGTGAGAGACAGAGAGCACAAGCAGGGGGAGCTGCAGGCAGAGGGAGAAGCAGGCTCCCTGATGAGCAAGGAGCCTGATGCAGGACTCGATCCCTGGACCCTGGGATCATGACCTGAGCAGAAGGCAGATGCTTAACTGACTGAGCCACTCAGGCGTCCCTAAATAAAATGTTTAATAAAAAAAAAAAAAAAAAAGGAACTCTCCAAAGTTTACTGATCACACAAGTGAAGGTTTATAGCACGTCTTCATAAACTTCATTGAAAAGGTCTGCCATTAGCATCTATTATTTTCTACAATATTATGATTTAATACCTGTCTTCTTTCTGAACTGAGTCCCAGGAGTTTGATACCCATCCTCAAATCTTCCCTGCTTTGTGTCCATCATGTCTTTCTTAAAAGACAAGGAGGGCTAAACTGAAAAATGTTTTTCAGGAGGGGACTCACTATGGTTTTGTAGGAGTCTGGAAGGCTTTGGTTGTTTCCTCTCAGTGGTTAGCACTGCACACAGGGCAACACACTAGATCCATGATCTGGGGGAAAGCCCATATAGATCGCCAGGTCTCTTTCTTAAATTGTAATCAATATCCTTAAAGAAATCTCATGAGTTTAAGTCAAATTATTTCTTTCTGTGTTCATTTCCTTCAACTTGCTCACAGAATATTCACACAGACATGTTTCTACACACTCAAGGAGCCTCAAAATGTCTTCCAGTTCAACTGGACCAGTCTCATCACAAAACCAAGGGAGCATAGTGGTATCTGTACTACACATTTCAACCTCCAGATCATTTTCTAGAAACACTGAGTTGGTCTAGTACCAATCCCTGAGAAATGCTACGTTCATAACTCATTCATCAATTTATTCCTACAGTCTATCCTGAATTCATAAAACAGTTAACACCCTTGCCTTACAAAGACAAAATTATTAAAAATAGTTTTTAATAGACAGGGTTTGCAGAGGTTTTCTGAGAAAGTCTAAGAAGATTAGAGCCATTAATTTCCCTTCCTCCAAGAACACATTACCTTTTTAAGCACTAATGGGAAAAGCCACAATTCTCCCTCTCAGAAATCACAAACACTATTCTAGAATAGAATGGATGCATTAACATGTTTACAATTCTATTTATTATATATAATATATAACTGCAACACACACACACATCCACTTGTGTCTTTGTGGAGGCGTTCCAAAATCCTCTTTCTGAGCATGCACATTAGTTAAGTTCTGAAGAAGCAGGTTGATACCTAGTTAATATGGCTCACATCGAGAATCATCAACTGGCTACCCATCCACAAGACACATCTGGCCCTCAGAAGAAGGGTTTGCTTGGTTTGCATGGTATTTCAAATTATCATTTAAAAATGAGGGCACTTCACAGAAATGTCTTTTATTTTTCCAACAAAGCTGGAAATCTGATCTTGCAAAAGTGGTTTGAATCCCCCAAAGTTAGCTTGTTCTAAAGGCCCTTAACCAAGGCATATAAGTCACATGAAATTACCAATCCTCACTTCACCTGCCTCCCTCATTTTTACCTTCACATTTGAGTCCTGTGGACATCTGAGTTTACAATTCTAAGCTACCACAAAAGTTTCTAACAGAAACTGGTCAAATACAGGAGGGAGGAACCCTAGGTCTTAAAATGTATTAATTAAATCAAACCCAACATGGGGATTAAGAGACAGCATCTCATTACCTAGTTTAATTCATTTAATCACTTTTTAAAGCAATTAACTCTCATCTCTGTGCCCTAATTATTATATTTCTAAAACAGGCAGGTGTGGGGATTTTCAGAAAGGTGACGGGACAAAGCATTCTAGACACACTAGTACTTTTTAATCCCAGAAGATGCCAAATAAAGGCTACTTTACTCAAAAAACAAAACCAAACCAAAAACACCCCACATCACCATATGTTACAGCAGCTGTAAGCAGCCAACCACACACTTTACAGGTAGAGAATGAAAAACTATGCCCCAGAATCAAGTGTTAAATCTTTTTTTTTCAATTTACAAATACAGATAGATTATGCAAAGCTTTTCATCATCTGTCCTTAAAGAATAAATCAAACCACAAAACATTCTCTTTACCTGGACGTCTGATGGCAGGATCAGGATCAAGAGTTTTCTTTAAGTATTCTGTTAGTGTTTGCAAATTTGCATCGCTGAGCTCCATTGCCATAGAACCTAAAACAAAAAATGAGCTTTGATAAATTGGTCACACTGGGATACAATGATTTACATAAAAGAATACTTTTATACCATGGGTCTTCCCCTCTCTGAAAGTCATCCATTTGTTATGTTTTAAGGTATGGGCTATAAGCATGACTCAGCTGAGGCAAGGTTCCAGAAGATAAGATGACTTTTCTGAGACAATGGTGAGTTAATTTTGAGATGAAGAAGAAAAACCATACCACAAAGTCAAAAAGAGGCACAGAAAAACAAAGGTGAAGAATTGATCAAAGTCACCATAAAGTTTATCAGATTTAATGCTAAAAAAAAAGGGGGGGGAAACGAGGGGTTTAAAAAAAGACTCACTAGGAACTTTTTTTTGTTAAGGTCCACCATGAGAAATTACAATTTTAAGCAGTAAATAAGGATCCCATAAAGAGTTCTGAGATTAAAGAAACTCGAATAAATTTCTTTGTGTACAACATGCAATCACAAAGATTGACAACAAACCAGATGCTGAGAATTTGTACCTGGGGAGAGAATTCTGGGATTCAGAAGATGACAGCTGTGATTATGATTAAAAAGCAACTTTCGATAAGCAAATAAGATAAGCAAGTGGGACTACATCAAACTAAAAAGCTCCTGCACAGGGGCACCTGGGTGGCTCAGTTGGTTAAGCGTCTTGCCTTCAGCTCAGATCATGATCCCAGGGTCCTGCTCAGCAGGGAGCCTGTTTCTCCCTCTCCCTCTGCCACTCCCCCTGCTTGTGCTCTCTCTCTCTCAAATAAATAAATCAAACCTTAAAAAAAAAGCTTCTGCACAGCAAAGGAAACCATCAACAAAATGAAAAATGTGGCCTACCAATGGGAGCATTATTTGCAAATTATATATCTGATAAGAGGTTAATATCCAAAATATACTAAAAGCCCACACAACTCAAAAAGCAAAAAAATAAAAATTATATATATAAATATATATTTTCTTGTATATATAAATAAAATTTAAAAATGGGGAGAGGCTTTGAACATTTTTCCGAGACATACAGATGGCCCACAGGTACATGCAAAGGTTCTCAACATCACTAACCATCAGGGAAATGCAAACCAAAACCACAATGAGACTTCACCTCATTCCTGTTAGAATGGCTGTCATGAAAAGGTAAGAAATAACAAGTGTTGGCAAGGATGTGCAGAAAAGGGAAAGCTTGTGCACTGCTGGTGGGAATGTAAATTGGTGCAGTCACTATGGAAAACTGTGCGGAGGTTCCTCGAAAAATTAAAAATAGAACTACCACATGATCCAGAAATTCCACTTCTGGGGGTACCTGGGTGGCTCAGGTGGTTGAGTGTCGGACTCTTGGTTTTGACTCAGGTCTGGGTCCTCATCTCAGGGTAATTGGATCCAGCCCTGCCTCCAGCTCTGCGCTCAGCTGGGAGTGTGCTTGTTCCTCTCCCTCCACCTCTGCCCTCCCACCCCCCAACTCCTGTTGCTGCATGCACATTCTCTCCCTCTCAATATATAAAATCTTGGGGGCGCCTGGGTGGCTCAGTCGTTAAGCATCTGCCTTCAGCTCGGGTCATGATTCCGGGGTCCTGGGATCAAGCCCCATGTCGGGCTCCCTGCTTTGTGGGGAAGCCTGCTTCTCTCTCTCCCACTCCCCCTGCTTGTGTTCCCTCTCTTGCTGTGTCTCTGTCAAATAAATAAATAAAATTAAAAAAAAAAACAAAAAACTTGGGGCGCCTGGGTGGTTCAGTCGTTAAGCGTCTGCCTTCGGCACGGGTCATGATCCCGGGGTCCTGGGACCGAGCCCCATATCAGGCTCCCCTCTCAGGGCGGTGTCTGCTTTGCTCTCTCCCTCTGCAGCTCTACTCGTGCTCTCTCGTTCGCTCTCAATTAGAAATCAACTCCATTTCTGGTATTTATCCAAAGGAAATGAAAGCACAAACTCAAAAAGATATCTGTACCCATATGTTCACCGCAACATTATTTACAACAGTCCAGACATGGAAATAACCTTTATAAATGTTCACCAATGGATAAATGGATAAAAGAAACCAGATATGTGTATACAATGAAATATTATTCAGCCATAAAAATGGGAAATCCCGCCACTTGTGACAAAATGGATGGACTTTTTTTTTTTTAAAGTAGGCTCCGTGCCCAATATGGACTTTTAACTCACAACTCCCCAGATCAAGAGTCACATGCTCTACTGACTGAGCCAGGCATATGCCCCTGGAGGACCTTCAGGGCATTATGCTAAGTGAATTAAGTCAGAGAGAGACAAATACCATAGGATCTCACTCCTATGTAGAATTTAAAATTAAAACAAGGGGCGCCTGGGTGGCTCAGTTGGTTAAGCGTCTGCCTTCGGCTCGGGTCATGATCCCAGGGTCCTGGGATCGAGCCCCATGTCGGGCTCCCTGCTCTGCGGGAGCCTGCTTCTCCCTCTCCCTGCCACTCCCCGCTTGTATTCTCTCTCTAATAAATAAATAAAATCTTAAAAAATAAATTAAAACAAAAACCCCCCCACACCAGAGCTCACAGATACAGAGAACCAATTGGTGGGGGGTTAGAGGTGCACAAAATGGGTGAAGGAGGTCAAAAGGTACAAAATTCTAGTTATAAAGTAAGTAAGCCATGAGGATATAAGGTACAGCATAGTGACTATAGTTAGTAATACAGGGACACCTGGCTGGCTCAGTCAGGGGAGCATGCAACTCTTGATCTTGGACTATGAGTTCAAGCCTCACTTTGGGTACAGAAATTACTATAAATAAACAAACAAACAAATTATACTGTATTACGGGGCATTCTGGCTGGCTCAGTCAGTAGAACATGCAACTCTTGATCTCGGAGTCGTGAGTTCAAGCCCCATGTTGGGTGTGGAGCCTACTTTTAAAAAAAAAGTTCTGATGACAAAAAAAAAAAAAAAATCTGTAATTATGTGTAGTGATGGATACTAACTAGACTTACTGTGATCATTTCATAATATATACAATTATTATGTTGTACACCCAAACCTAATGGTAATATGTCAATTATATCTCTATATCTCAGTAAAGAAGCAACTACTTTAATATTCAAAGCTTAAACAACACCAAACATAAATCACAGAATACACTGCCATTGACCAAAAAAATTCACATCTAATATATTACAAATTAAAAGCTAAACATAAGTGACAACATAAAGCTAAGAAACACAGAATAGCACATATGTATAAATTACAGGAGTGCACGCACACATCATTCCCCATAAACAAAAAAGCTTGAGAACTCTATAAAATAGAACATTGTGATCTCCGAGTTCTTGGTGAGTAGATAAAATTAAATGCAAAACAACAGAACTTTCTGGGGACAATAAAAATGATCTAAAACCATGATGTGAGTATGGTGATGGATGCACAACTGTGTAAAATTAATGACACTCACCAAAAAGTACACTTAAAATGAATTCACAGTAAGTTATAGTTCAATAAAGCTATTTTTTAAAACTGCACTTTTTTTCAGAGAAAGAAAGGGTGGGGGAGAGGGAGAGAGAGAATCTTAAGCATGCACCACGCCCAGCACAAGCTGAAACAGGGCTTGATCTCATGACCCTGAGATCATGACCTAAACCAAAATCAAGAGTCAGGGGCTTAACGGAACCAAGCCACCCAGGCGCCCCTAAAACTGCACTAGCTCCCAGGGAACCTAGGGAAATATAGCCTTCTCAGGGCAACCATGCACCAAACTCAATCTGGGGCTTCTATGACAAGAAAAAAACAAGTATGTAATAATTTTTGTAAAATGTAATAAAGCTAAGTGGAAAAAGCTCAAATATACCACAATTCAAATTATGTGAAAAATATTTAGGGGCACCAGACTGGTTCAGTTGGTACAGCATGCAACTCTTGATCTTGAGAGTTTTAAGTTCAAGCCCCACACTGGGTACAGAGGTTACTTAAAAATAAAATCTTAAAAAAAATTTACACATACCACACTATATAGAAAAATTAAAAATACACTCCAAATGTAAATAGCAGTAATGTCCATGCGATGAACAATGGACATTTTTGTTCTTTTCATATTCTTCTAGATTCTCCTAATATCCCACAACTACTGTACGTATCACACTTGCAATCAGAAAGTTATTAAAATTTTATTTTTTTTTTAAGATTTTATTTATTTGAGAGAGTGAGAGAGCGAGCACAAGCCGGAGGGGAGAGGCAGAGGGAGAAGCCCACTCCCCAGTGAGCAGGGAGCCTGGGTGCAGGGCTCGATCCCAGGACTCTGGAATCATGACCTGAGCTGAAGGCAGACACTTAACCAACTGAGCCACCAAGGTACCCTTTATTGTATTCTTAAAATGATTCTGTCAAAGGTAATTAAATTCAGGCTCTCAAAGGAGCTTACATATTAGTTGGAAGACAAGACACTTCAACTGCGATGCCAACTACAGACCCATAATCCCTTTCCTGCAGTGCTGAAATCCAAAAGTCTAAAACTGAAAGTTGTTGTTGTGGTTTTTTTTTTTTAAGCAGTCTCCACGCTCAGCATGGAGCCCAATGCTGGGCTTGAACTCATAACCCTGAGCTGAGATCAAGAGTAGACTGAGCCACCCAAGTGCCCCTGAAAGGTTTGTTGTTTTTTTTAAAGTTTGTAACAAACTCGTTCGGCAGCAAAACCTGGCCCAAACTGCCTGAGGCTATAAATAAGGTATCTCACTTAGTATATAAATTTGTTTTATTTAAGAAATAGTAATGTGTTTGATTGCAGAGTGCTACCCCACACCCCTCAGGAATGTTGCATCCAAAAAGAAACCCTGAAACACATTTGTTCTCCGGAGTAGAGGTGCCAAATGAATCCCAGACAGTAACTTAAGCTAGGAAGTTAATAAGTGAGTCACTTGGCCTACATTTACATGTGGGCCAAGATGTCCAAGAGGCTGTCTTTAGCTAACTTGAAAGATACATAGAAGGGCGCCTGGGTGGCTCAGTCAGTTAAGCAACTGCTATCAGCTCAGGTCATGATCCTGGAGTCCTGGGATCGAGCCCCACGTTGGGCTCCCTGCTCAGCAAGGAGTCTGCTTCTCCCTCTTCCTGTCCCCCTCCCACTCCCCCTCCCACTTTCCCTCACTCTCGCTCAGTCTCTCAAAACAAATGAATAAAATATTACAAATAAAAAAGAGGAAAGATACATAGAACTGAAAAGGCAAAGTAGAATGAAGACCCATCCCATACAAGAACTAGTGTGAGCAAAGTTAACAGAGAGGAAGAGTACATACCTCCTGTGGAGAATAAAGGAATTGGAGGCTAAGATCAGATCATATAGTTCCTCAGTATTTAGCTGAAGTTTCATGATTTAATGTACAATAGGAAGTCACTAAAGGTTTTTTGAAATGAGTCAAAACTTAATGAAAGTGGAGTATATGAACTTTGGGCTGGCAATGTTTCCAGAATGGAGTTGAGAAGAACAAGTGAAGATGTGTTAGGACACATTTTTTTTTAAATGGGGGAAGGGCACAATGACAGATCTTTTGCATGGTTTACATCATTTCATATAATAACCATTTTATATACAAGGAGACTCAGAGAGATTAACTAACTTGCCCCAAGTCACACATAGTTAATAAAAATTAGATTCAACAGATCAGTCTGACTCTATAAGGTCTACTCTCTTCCTACTAACCAAGGCTATCTCTCAGGGGGAAATAATAATGACAGGGGACTGAACTAGAGTGGAAACACCGGGGATAGCAATAGGAAGGTCATCTTGGGGGCGGGTTAGCTAATGCTATAGATAAGGGCGATAGCTAATACTATGCTTGTACAGCATCCCTCCACAGCCAGAAACTACAAACTTTTAAGGAGAATGATTTGTTTGAAACTATCCGTATTCTCATTAGTCTTTTCCTTTAACTGGAAGATGTTTTTATCATAAGGGAAGCCAATATTCTTATTTAATAGATTCCTCCACCTATCCATTCACTTCCTTTGACGCAGTGCAAACCACTCTATGGCATGAATATCAAGTACCACTCAAACATACACACAATTTATTGAGAGGCTACCCTTTCTGGGTTTTATATCAAAACTTTGGAAAATGCAGGGGTGCCTGGCTGGCAGGCGACTCTTGATCTTGTGGTTTTGAGTTGGATATAAAGATTTAACAAAAAATTTTTTTTAAGATTTTTAAAAGATTTTATCTTTAAGCAATCTCCACACCCAGCGTGGGTCTCAAACTCAACCCTGAGATCAAGAATCGCATGCTCCTCTGACTGAGCCAGCCAGACGGCCCTTAAATACAAAATTAAAAAAAAAAAAAAAAGTTTGGAAAATGCTATGCATTATATTCCCTTAAAGGTTTCAGGAACTCAAACAGTAAATTATCAGTTTAATGTTATTTAATCCAGAATTCCCCCCCTATTACTTGGCCACAGAACTACTTTATTATATAAAACTTCGGAAAGGGGTGCCTGGGTGGCTCAGTTAGTTAAGTGTCTGCCTTTGGTTCAGGTCATGATCCCAGCCTGGGATCAAGCCCTGTGTCAGGCTCCCTGCTCAGCGGGGGAGTCTGCTTCTCCCTCTCCCTCTGCCCCTGCTCGTGTGCTCTCTCTTGCTCACTCTCTCCCCCAAATGAATATTAAAAAACAGGGCGCCTGGGTGGCTCAGATGGTTGGCCGTCTGCCTTTGGCTCGGGTCATGGTCCCGGGGTCCTGGGATTGAGTCCCGCATTGGGCTCCCTGCTCCTTGGGAGCTTGCTTCTCCCTCTGCCTCTCTCTCTCTCTCTCTCTCTCTCTGTCTCTCATGAATAGATAAATAAAATCTTTAAAAAAAAAAAAGGCAAAACAAAAAAACTTTGGAAAGTAGTGATTTAATCAATTCCTTTCCCATTCTTTCTGTTGAAATGCTCAATCTGTTTGAAATGAAAGTTTGCTGTTGCCAAGCAAAATCATCTACATCAGTGTTATGTAAGCTAAAAAAACCCAAAAACCCAAAAAACCCTTGTCTTTCTTTGCCACACAAACTTGTTCTACCTTTTGACATTTATTCAAGGCAGCATGTTAGAAACTGTGTACTGGGAGGACTACAGAGATTAATTGGATCTGAGTTCTTTTTTTTTTAATAATAACCTTTATTTACTGATTTTTCAAGCAGGCTCTCATGACCCTGAGATCAAGACCTGAGCCAACCAAGATCAAGAGTCCGATGCTTAACTGACTGAGCCATGCAGGAGCCCCTATTCTGTTGAATTTAATACACTCCCCAGTAACTTTGCATTTCACTAACTTTTTTTTTTAGGATTTATTTATTTTAGGGAGAGAAAGAGAGCGCACACACTTGTGAGCAGGGGAGGGGGCAGAGAGAAAGGAACAGAAAGAATCCTTAAGCAGATTCCTCACTGAGCTCGGAGCCCCACACAGGGCTTGATCCCAGGACCCTGAGATCATGTCGAGCAGAAATCAAGAACCAACAGCTCAACGGACTGAGCCACCCAGGCACCCAACTAACTTTCTTCATTATGTTCTTAAAGCACTATACATATCTCAGCTAAAATCTCTTATATTCCTCATAATTATCTATATTAAAAACCCAAACCCTTGGGGCGGCTCAGTTGGTTAAGTGACCGACTCATGATACAGGCTCAGGTCATGATCTCATGGGTCATAAGATCGAGCCCCAAGTTGGGCTCCACAGCAGGGAGTTTGCTTGAGTTGCTTGAGATTTCCTCCCTCTGCCCTTCCCCCCACGTGTGAACTCTCTCTAGCGTGCACACTCTCTCTCTTTAAAATAAATAAATCTTAAAAAAAAAATTCCAGACTCTTTACCATGGCAGAGTCCCATGCAATCTGTAACTGTCAACTTCATTTACCTTCTTTTGGCTTCTTTTTGGCTCTAAGTTCAAGCCACAAAAGCCTTCCCTCTGTGGCGTGAACCAGCCAAGACAGTTCTCCATGCTGTAATAATGCTCTTCCTTTTAATTTGATATTGGGTATCATTTAGCTGTCAGCCCACTGTCAATTCCTAAAAAGGGCCTTCCACCATTATCATCTACCTTGTTCCCATTACACTATTAATAGTAGCAACCATCATCTGAATTATCTTTGATATACCTGTTATCCTTATTGTAAGCTCCTTATGGCAGGGACTTTGTATGTCTTGTCTGTGTAAGCCCAGGACTTTACCACTGCCTGACACACAGGAGATACACAGTAAGCATTTGTTGAACGAACTAAAGGATGAGTCAATATGTCAGTCAACTAGCTACAACAGGAGTTCCCAGAGTGTATTAGAGACTATTCTTTGAGGCTCATTTCTGAGGAGCCCCAACTTAACATGGGAACTCTTACATCTGTAAGATAAACAAATGACAACTTACCCACCATAATTAATTTCTGTTCATTCGAAAGTTTTTCAAGAAAGAAGTGAATGTGAAATTTGTCCTATGTTACTGTTCATATATGCCAGTGCTTATACTTTTGTTTCAGGGCTTTGCACTTACTGTTCACCTGCCTGAACAGCTCTGCCTCTGGAGAGCTGTATGGCACTGCCCACTTCATTCAGGTCTCTTTCCAAGGTCATCTCTTTTCAGAGATGCCTTCCTGGACCAGCCTATCTAAAAGAGCACCCACCTCAGTCACTCTCTATTCCTTTACTCTATTTTTCCAAGTTCCAAATTTCCAAGTATTATAAGGCATACTACTTTGCTTTCTTGTAGGGTCTTTGTGTTTTGTTCACTTCAATCTCCCTAGAGCTTTACAATAGTGATAGGTACCTACTACGTATTTCTTGTACTATTTTCAAAAGCTGCACCCCCTTGATTGATTTTTTCCATCAAAAACTTTCTATCAGGGCACGTGGGTGGCTCAGTTGGTTGAGAGACTGCCTTCGGCTCAGGTCATGATCCTGGAGTCCCGGGATCGAGTCCTGCACCGGGCTCCCTGCTCAGCGGGGAGTCTGCTTCTCCTTCTAACCCTCCCCCTCTCATGTGCTCTCTCTCTCTCTCTCTCTCAAATAAATAAATAAGATCTTAAAAAAAAAAAACTTTCCATCATTCTACACATTTGTTCTGGTCAACTGACTATGACTACAGGAAGAGGTGGAGACAACTGATTCTAAGACCACATGATAGAATGACACTAAAATGACAAAGTTCCGGTACTAAGCAGGACTATTTGTAAGTTAAAAAAAAGTGGGGGCTCATGGGGATATGTAAATATGCATGAAACAATCCCTGAAAGTCAAAATACTACACAGATCCTTGAGTTTAGTACTAATTATCTGTCAACAAATCCTTTTTGTATCTCCTTAGTAATAATGTCTAAAAAACCAAATGGTAGGGGCGTCTGGGTGGACCAGTCAGTTAAGCGTCTGCCCATGGTTCAGGTCATGATCTCAGGGTCCTGGGATCCAGCCCTGCTTAAGTCTCCCTGGTCAGCAGGGAGTCTGCTTCTCCTGCTCCCTCTGCCCCTCCCCCTACTCTGTGTGTGGTGCTCTCCCCAATAAATAAATAAAATCTTTAAAAAAAACTGTAAGCTTAGCCCTGATTTGGGAAAGCATGACAAATCAGGTAACTTTAGAGAATACTCCACAGGTATTCATAACGTATCAACAAGATCAAGGTCTAATTAAGCTATCTAATTTGGCCACATGTGAAAGACCTGGACTCTTTAAAATATTAGCAAAATATAAATGTAGAAAGTGTTACTGATTTTAAAATAATGATTAAAACTAGAAATGTGAAATTCATTATTTTGCTTTTATATGAGATACGTTACTTTTTCCACAGATCTTTGGAAATCCCTACCAATTCAGTTAAAAAAGAAAACACATGTACCACAATAAATCAGTGATGGGAGACTTATCTAAATTCCAAGTTCTTCTTGTTGAATGAATGGCTGGACCTAAGTCTAGCCTCTTCCCACAGGCCCTCAGTTATGGATGAAGACTTTTGGAATAAAAACTTTGATTTCCAAGGCCATCTGACAGACATCTGTGACATAAGCTGATCCAAGATCTGTGCCTTTTCCTTAGATATTTCCTCCACATTAGAGAACCATTCCTGAGTCCTTACATCTGGGGAAAGGGAAAGAGATCCAATGAATGAAAACTATCTGGCACACACATATCAAGAACATACCCCAACACCTCAACCCCCCTCCCTGCTTTCTTATCACAGGAATAGACCACTTAGAATCAAATCCAAACTGTACATTGTCTACAAAGCCCTATATGATCTGGCCCCTGGATACCTCTCCTTTCTTCATACGCTACTGTAGCAAGCTGGATTTTCCTCCAATATTCTAAGTCTGTTCCTGTCCTCAAGCCTTTGTACTTACTTTCTATTTCCTCTGCCTGGAATGCTCTGTCCCCTCAACTTTCCATGGCTGATCTCAGCTCAAAAGTCACCTCTCCAGAGAAGCCTTTTTTTTTTTTTTTTTTAAGGGGGGGGGGGGGGGGGGGGGACAGAGAGAGAATCCTAAGCAAACTCTATACCTAGCACAGAGCCCGCTAATGGGACTCCATCTCACAACCTTGAGATCATGACCTGAGCTGAAATCAGGTTGGACCCTTAACAGACTGAGCCACTCAGATGCCCCCAGAGAAGCCTTCATCTGTCACATCGGCTCTCTCACTTCTCACTATCTGAAATTATCTAATTCATTTATTTGTATTACTGTTTCTTTCTCCCATTAGCATATAAGCTCCCCAAAGGAAAGGACCTTGTCCATTTTTATTTCACTGTATTCTCAGATATTAAGTGAATGCTCTATAGTTATTAAATGAAGGAACAAATTAATTCCAAAGCTAGAGCACTGCTCTCAAACACATCTGATCCTCTACAGGAAACCTTCTGTCCCAGCCCCCAAGTAGCAGAAATCAAAGTAACCAGATGGGAAGAGAAAACTCCCTTGCACTGACAGAAAGAAGTCAAAGTATCTTGGAGGGATAAGGTCAATCAAGAGTCCCAGGAATTGTGCAGCAAGTGGAGACACACACACACAAGTTAAAAATTCAACCCTGGGGAGGGGGCTCAGGAGAAAAGAAAAGAACACAGGTGGGGCGCCTGGGTGGCTCAGTCGCTAGGCGTCTGCCTTTGGCTCAGGTCATGGTCCCAGGGTCCTAGGATCGAGCCCCGCATCGGGCTCCCTGCTCCACGGGAAGCCTGCTTCTCCCTCTCCCACTCCCCCTGCTGTGTTCCCTCTCTTGCTGTGTCTCTCTCTGCCAAATAAATAAATAAAATCTTTAAAAAAAACAAAACAAAACACAGGTGGGATCCAATAGTAAAAAGTCCCCCTCTATGCCTCCAAGGAATAACAACACTTGTGCATCTACCACGTGGTAAGCACTCGTCACCAGAATATAGCAGTAAACAAGACAGGCAAGGTCCTTGCTCTTGAAGTTAACAACCCAGCAGCTGAGAAAGACAATGAACGACTCTAAGTAATTCTAGTTAATAGTAAATGCTATTAAGTAAAAAGTGGAAAGAAATAAGTCCTCAGAGAAGTCGGTCAAAGGTGTAACGGACATGAAACTTAAAGGACAGGGAGCCAGCCTTGCAAAGCTCTGATGTCGATAATTTCCAAGCAAACGAAAGGCACGTCCAAACGCTCTACGGTGGGCACGAACTTGGAACATTTAAGAAAACAGAAAGTCAGCAGTATGGCTTCAGTGGCTAAGAAGAGATGGGTGGAAGAGGCAGACAATGGTAACTTCGGTTGGGACTTTGTCAACCACGGTAATAACTCCGTGGATCCTCAGAGCCACTCTGCGAGGCAGATTGTTTTCAACCCCACTTTGCGGATAAGGAAATGGGGAAGACTCTGAGGGATGAAGAGACTAGCCCTAACCTGCACTCCCAGGGAGGCCGACTCTGGAGCGAACCCAGGCCTTCTAATTCCAAAGCTCATGCTCCGAACTACCACACTCTCGCGTCTCCCCCAAGACCGAGACCCTACATTCCTGGGCAGGTGCATGGACTAGACGTAATCCTCAAAACAACTCAGCAAAGTGAGATCACGATGCCCATTTACAGTCGGGGAGACTGAAGCACAGGGAGATTAAAGGTCCCCCTTCCAATCAGAACGTGAGTCCCGGGGACCGGGGAAGAGGCCGTCTGGGCGGCAGCCGGCTCCGGCTCCGCAGCCCCGCCGGACAGGCCTCGCCACTGCGCTCAGCTCACGTTGCGGGTGGCCCGGCGCGACGAGGACGGACGCGCGGGTGCGACCAATGAGAGGTGGCCTTCCCGAGCGGCCCGGCGGCAGCGCGGCCAATCCGCGCGGCGCTGGGGGGGAAGGGGCGGGCGCTCGGGCGGCTCGCGTTAGGCCGCGCCTCGGGGGCCCTCGTCCCTCACAGGCCCCGGGGCCGCTGGGCTTGGGCCTGAGGCCTGGCACGCCGCGAGGTGAGGCGCGACCCGTCCGTGCAGGCAAAGACCTCGCCCGAGGGCGCCGCCCGAAGTACGGGCTCAAATTCCGCTCTCGCCCAGAGGCGCGGTCTTTGCTTCCCAGCGCTCGGAAGTGTCAGAAACGCGCATCCCTCCCCCAGCGGGGTCCCAAGAGGCCACCCTGCCAGGCCCTGCACGCCCCGCGCCTCACCTCTTGGGGATACGGGAACGGAGAAGGGAATCTCAGTCGCGAACTGTAGCCGGCACTACCCACCCCTGCTGCCGCTCCGCCTCACATTCAAACCCCGGCAAAATGGCGCGGCGGCGAGGCTGCGGCCCGGGCGCATGCGTGAGCCGGGCAGAGGCGAGGGGCGGGACCAGGAGCGCTCAGGCCCCACCCAAGCTCGGATGGCCAATCGCGACCGGCTCTGTGTTTGCGCTGACATCACAAGCGACAATGCCCTTTGGCTCAGACCGCGGCTTGGGGCATCATAATCCCCATTTTCCTGAGAACGGACAGGGCTTCAGCGAGTGGCCGCGGGAGTGCGACCTAGTCTGATGTAGGCCTGCAGTGAGGCACGTAGTAGGTCTTCTATAACTGTTGAACTAACTGCTCAAAGTCATGTCCGTAGTCTCTCAGGCCCAGGAGAACTTTTGCCCCTCGCAGACCGCAGGTTTTAGAGGAAGAGGCGGAATACACGAAATCATTTCAGATCTTGATAGGCGCTACGACAAGAAAACATAAAAGAGAGTGATATGACAGGCAGTGACTTGGAAGGTCATTGATTGGTCAGAGAAGACCTCTGAACAAGTGACACTTGACCTCAATTTCAACAAGGAGACAGCTGTGTCAAGATCCTCCTGGAGAGCAGAGCCAGGAGGAGGGGATGCCAACAGCCTGGGCTCTGAGGCAGGAGTGAGCTGGGCTGGGGCTCAATGAAGTGCAGAGAGGCAGGAGATGAAGTTAGGCCAGCAGGGGCCAGATGATGTAGGCGTCATAAGCCCTGTTTAGACTAGGTCTCACTCTCACGTGCATCCATTAGGGGAAGGCCACCAAATCTACACTTTAAAAGGCCCACCAGTTGCTGTGTGGAGATGGACTGTATGGGGGTGGAGGCGAAGAACTTGAAGCAGGGACCCTGGAGGCATCCAGGAGAGAGACGTGATGGCTCAGAACTCAGGTGAGTAGCAGCGCATATGGAGATAAGTGGACAGCTTCAGGATATACTATAGAGTTAGAGCCTGTAGGATTTTATGATCCACAGAGTGTGACAATGGACAGCAAGCAATGAGGACTTAGGGAAATCCCAGCTCTCAGTTTCAGCCACCAGCAGGCTGAGGCTCAGCTGTTTCAGAGCGCATCCCTTGCCATTGCTAGCTTGCTACTCTGGGGACTGAAAGGCATGTATTTGGTTATCACTGGAGGAAACAAATATTATAAGAACACAGAATTATATAGGGACTGAGACCTGCAGAACTCTTAGCATATAATGATTCTGTCCAAACCTCTGCAATAAGAGATGACCGAATTTGAACATGGCTTCTAGCAGCAGCATAAGGCCATGACCCTAGGATGACCCCAGTGTCCCCCACCCCCAACACACACACACAGACAGACAGACACAGGACTGCTTGAGAAAGTTCAATGCTACCAGGAGAATTTACTGTTTGTTCTAGCCAACACCTGGGTATAGGCCCCAACCTCCCTTCCTTAGAGCATTTACTAAAAAGGACTTACAATTGTGAATCTTTTTTCTGTCCCTCTGAGATGTATATGTATCTCCTGCAATTCAGGAGTGTCTTTCTTAATGACCTGAAAGCCATTCCTCTGAAATATAATCATCAGGAAGGTGAGGCCTGTTTCTCGGTCTCTGTGAGTAGATGCGAGCCTAACCCTGGTAATTACTAGCTAGCAGACGTAGCGAGCCTGATGACATTTACACCGACCAACACTTTAAGTTTTCACCTAGGCCTTCACTTTCCAACTCCCCCGTTCACCTTTAAAATGCCAAATCAGGGACGCCTGGGTGGCTCAGTCAGTTAAGCGGCAGACTTCAGCTCGTGTCATGATCCCAGGGTCCTGGAATCAGGTCCCATATCTGGCTCGCTGCTCAGCAGGGAGCCTGCTTCTCTCCCTCTGCCTCTGTCTGCGGCTCCCCCTGCTTGTGTGAGCACACACTCTCTCTCTCTGACAAATAAATAAAATCTTTTTAAAAATAAATAAAAAAAATAATAAAATGCCCACTCAGGGGTGCCTGGGTGGCTCAGTCAGTTAAGCCTCTGACTCTTTTTTTAATTTTTTTTAAAGATTTTATTTATTTATTTGACAGTGAGAGCGAAAGAGCACAAGCAGGGGGAGCAGCAGAGGGAGAGGAAGAAGCAGGCCCTCTTCCGAGCAGGGAGCCTGATGTGGGACTCGATCCCAGGACCCTGGGATCATGACCTGAGCCGAAGGCAGATGCTTAACCATCTGAGCCACCCAGGCGCCCCTAAGCCTCTGACTCTTGGTTTCAGTTTAGATCATGATCTCAGGGTCGTGTCTGGCTCCATGCTCAGTGGGGAGTCAGCTTGAGATTCCCTCTCCCTTTGCCGCTCACATGCTCTCTCTCTCAAAATGAATAAATAAAATCTTAAAAAATAAAATGCCCAATCACCTCTGCACAGTCATAATCAACTCTCTCCCCCACTGTGAATAGTTTCTGAATAAAATCTGTTTTTACTGCTTTAACAATGTCCGACTTTATCTTTGACAGCCCTTGGCTATGAACATGTAAAAGCAGTTCCTGAGATAAAATGCAAAAATTGCTCTGAGTGAAAAGGTCATGGATGTAACTTTTTTGTAAAATTATTCAACATCTCTTATCACAGTCCACAAACTCTGCAAGTTCTGGCCCCTGTCAACCTGTCTGACTTCATCACCTCCCTCCCTCCTCCACTCCACCCTCACTCAACTTAGCCACCTTGCCTTCCTTTCTGTTCTTCCAAGCTCCAAGCTTATTCCCACCTCAGAGTGTTTGTACTTGCCCTTCCCTCTGCCTGAATGCTCTTCTAGACCCCGGAATAACTGGCTCCCTCTGTACCTCCAGATTCCCGCTCAAATGTCACCTCCTCAGAGAGGCCTTCCACTCTGTCTGAAATTGCCCACTCTTCACACCTGATAAATCGACATTTAGGTTTGCCAGATTTATTTTTTTTAAGATTTTATTTATTTATTTGACAGAGGGAGAGAGAGAGAGAGAGCGAGAGAGAGAGAGAGATCATGAGCAGGGGGGAGGGGTAGAGGGAGAAGTAGACTCCCTGCACTGAGCAGGGAGCCCGATGCAGGACTTGATTCCAGGACTCTGGGATCATGACTTGAGCCAAAGACAGACACTTAACCAACTGAACCACCCAGGAGCCCAGGTTTGCCAGATTTAGCAAGTAAAATACAGGACACCCAGTTCAATGTGAATCTCAGAAAAACAATGCATGACTTTTTATTTTTTTATTTTATTTTTTTTTGGATTTTATTTTTTGACAGAGAGAGACAGTGAGGGAGGGAACACAAGCAAGGGGGAGTGGGAGAGGGAGAAACTTCCCGCCGAGCAGGGAGCCCAATGTGGGGCCTGATCCCAGGACCCTGGGATCATGACCTGAGCTGAAGGCAGATGCCTAACAACTGAGCCACCCAGATGCCCCAATGCATGACTTTTTAATATAAATATTGCATGGGACAGAGCGCCTGGGTGGCTCAGTTCATTGGGCGACTGCCTTCGGCTCAGGTCATGATCCTGGAGTCCCTGGATCAAGTCCCGCATCAGGCTCCCTGCTCAGCAGGGAGTCTGCTTCGCCCTCTGACCCTCCCCCCTCTCATGTGCTCTCTCTCTCTCTCTCTCTCTCTTTCTCTCTCTCAAATGAATAAATAAAATCTTTAAAAAATATTGCATGGGACATACTTCTAAAAGATCATACATTGTTTATCTGAAATTCGCATTGACTCAGATGTCCTGTATTTTATCTGGCAAGCTTAGCCTCAATATATCATTGTTTTCTTCATAGCATTTATCATTCTTTGCAATTGTCTTTGTTAATTCCTCCCCCCACCATCAGCTTAAGGACTCTATTAGAACAAGGACCTTATTTATCTTATTTACAGCTGTCCCCCCAGCACCGAGCACACAGTACCTGCTCAATAAGTATTTATTGAATGATGAATGAAATTCCCTATATAAATAAAGTCCACTGAGAAAGGTGTAAGTTATTAAGGACACTGGTGGAAAAGATGTATTTTTGCCATTGCAGCAATAGCACAAGTAATCGATCATACTAATCTGCTTTCCTAGATGAAGATTTTCCTCCAATCCCGGTGAGAACAACCCTGATGATTTAACAGTTTTCCATCTCTGAGAGCTAATCATGAAGGAGGCTGACTGGCATCTCGTGTAGGTCTAGCATCTCTCCCAGGTTCTGCAGGAAGCCCCAAAGTGTGCCAAGGTTATCACGTCTGTGGACGCAGCTCTAGTGGTGCCCCCTCCCCTCGCCCTTTGCAGCTGAAAGAAGAACCATGCAGGTGAGGGTCACAGAAAGGTCAGTATGGCCTCCTTCTCCAGTCTCCGTGGGTGATACCTGAAGGCTCCCTTGGGAATCTCTACCCACCCCCCCACACCACCAGCCCATGGAGTCCACACACTCCCGGGTTTGCTACAACTGCTAATGTGCACATGGTGAAAAATTCACACGGAACATGAGAGGATTTGGTCTTTTGCTAATTAGGACATTCACTGTAGGTAACATATTATGTTCTCTATGTCCTATATTTTTAATTGTGCTTTACTAGAAGTTCTCTGAGAGAGGCATGTTGGTCTCCCACCATGATTCTGGCTTTGTCATTGTTAAAAGTGTACTCAGTTGTCTTTTGTTGTATGTTTTGAAGCTATCAGGTAGATTAGGTTCATGCCATTTCTTCCAGATAAAGTCTGTCTACCATCTGACGATGTGAAATACTCCTCTTTCGTCCTTTCAGACCTCTCCTCTTCCAATTCTTTTTGTCTGAATCAATATTGTTAGACCTGCTTTCTTTTGGTTAATAATTTCCTGGCATATCTTTTTATTTTTTTTTTATTTTTTTTATTTTTTTTAAAGATTTTATTTATTTATTTGAGAGAGAGAATGAGAGAGAGAGAGCACGAGAGGGAAGAGGGTCAGAGGGAGAAGCAGACTCCTTGCTGAGCAGGGAGCCCGATGTGGGACTCGATCCCGGGACTCCAGGATCATGACCTGAGCCGAAGGCAGTCGCCCAACCAACTGAGCCACCCAGGCACCCCTGGCATATCTTTTTAAACCTCCTGC